CATGACTGACGAGGCAGATTTTTTTCCCGCAGTAGGTTGCCATTTCTTTCTGCTGTAGGCCAGTTGCCATCCAAGGTTATAGAACCCGGTGTGTCCTGCAATTTACCCATAGCTGGATGGAGAAGAAGAGGATTAATACCTTTCCAAGAGTATTTGAGCGTAAGTGAATATCAGTCAGTTATGTGCCATGCGTGATACATGATCGTCTAAGCATGTATATTTTGATACATGTCTGACGAGGCAGATTTTTCCAGCAGTAGGTTGCCATTTCTTTCTGCGGTAGACCAGTTGCCATCCAAGGCTATAGAACCCGGACTGTCCTGCTATTTACCCATAGCTGGGGGTAGAAGAAGAGGATTCCTAACCTTCCCAATGTTATTAGCACGTAAGTGAATGTAATGGATTCGAATGGAATTCGAACTCGGCTCTCCGATTCCTTAATCCGAGCCGCTATCCATTAGTTTTCCTATTCAATGATGTAGAGACTTACAGTCTCTTGCCATATGCGTTTTTCATTGTTATTAGTATTTCATTATTGTTTGTGATTTAGCTTGTTCTCTTTCTTACAGCGCCCTACGAGGCTGGCATCCTGCTCCCACCCTTACACTGTAGAAACTTTTAAATGTAGCCGTCTCTTCTACTCCAATAGCTTCATACCTCGCACCTCTCGTTTGTGGAACACCCTTCCCAATTACTGTTTCCCTGAGAGCTATAATCTCCAGCTATTCAAATGTAATGCCAATCGACATCTCCAGTTACCTTGATCTATCCACTATCCCTCTCCTCATCCTTTCTTCTATCACTCCTATCTGCTCTCGCTCCAAAATCTTCTGCAACCCCCTGCATCCTAGTTGGCTTCACGCTTTGCTCGGAGCGTAATGCTTAAAAAAAAAAAAAAATTAAACTTTTTTTTTTTTCGTTCATTTCGTTACCAAGTTATTTGTCTCGATAAGATTTTATTGTTGAGGTCCAGTGACTCGAACTGTCCAAATCTCTAGCGATTTTCTCAAAAGTCTCTTGTGTCATCGTCATCATCGTCATCATCATCATCGTCATCATCATCATCGTCATCATCATCATCGTCGTCGTCATCATCATCATCATCATCATCATCGTCGTCATCATCATCATCGTCGTCATCATCATCATCATCATCATCATCATCTATTCCATTGCATCTCCTTTCTCAAGAGGGTACAGTTACAAGTGAATCAAGTGTTTTCAAAATTCTTACTCTGTTCTCGGCGTATCTTATTATGCATTCTCCTTTCTTACTTCTTCCTTGGAATAACTTCGTCGTGTCTCTTCCCAGTGACCCAACTCCCAGAGATGACTTTAACAGACACATTCCATAAGTTTTATTTTTTTTTTTTTTTATATATACTCTTCTTCTATATTTTACTTTCATGTATCTTCATTTCGTTTTATTTTACTTCGTTCATATATTGATTTGATTTATTTTATATCTTATTTGCTTATTTACATATTAGCTTCAGTGTTGTTTCTTGTTTTTTGTTTTTTACACTTGCTTCTGTTTTTATCTCTACATTGTTTTATTATCTTTGAATTTTTATTCGCGTTTTTTTATACTTGAGTTCAAACCAAATCGCATTTTATTGCTATATAATGTCATGTATTTTAGGATGTTATTTGCATGAAAAAGACAATTATTTCTTTTATGCGCTGTTAATTATCATTTTCAAGACGGCTGTCTCTATAAACTAACGCTTACCTTTTCTTTTGTAAACCTTAGTTTTGAGTGTTTTATCACTGTATAAGCTTAACGCAATTGAGAAATTACCAGAAAAATGAACGAATCAAAAGTTTGATGAATAAATTTGCCGAAATTAGATGAGAAATCTGAGAGCTCTGTTCGAATTCCAGTCGGTTTCGTTACATTCACTTACACACAGATAACCACGGGAGAGTGACAGAACTAATTTCAACTCCGAGTTGAAATTAGTTCCGAGTTGAAATTAGTTCCGCATTGAAATTATTTCCGAGTTGAAATTAATTCCAAGTTGAAATTAGTTTCGACTTGAAATTAATTCTGCATCCCATCTCCCCGGGAAAGCTATGAGTCTATCTCCTCAAACTTTGGATTAAATAGTAGGACTTGTATCTGAAAAAAAAAATCATCGTTATACGTTTTAGTATAACGATGATTTTTTTTTTATTGTTTTTCTATATTCTTCTGAAAGGATAATTGTTAATGCAATATTCACTCGCATAAAAAAAATGTTCTTGGAATCCAAAATATGTTTTGACTTAAATTAACCACAAATGTTTGAAAGGTCTTAAAAGACAAATCAATCAATGAATGACTGACGAGGCAGATTTTTTAAAAATGACTTTATGAATAATTTCATGAAAAATATGAAAATTACTTTTCACTTTTCTTGTCTTTTTGTCGGTCATCCTAGTTTGTTTTTTTGTTTTTTTTTTTATTTTACATTTCCCTAGATTATTGTGTAACTGATTGAGCATATAAGCAATTACTCATTTTGCATTAACTGAAAAGGTAACTGCTCTATTAAGATAAAACCTCTGGATGTTAAAAGGACATAGGATAGATCGAATTTGGAACCATAGTCTTGGACAAGTCTAAATATTTGTGATAGGATATAATAAAAAAAAAACATGCAAATTATTTTATTTCTACCTTCTAATGCCATTTGCAGACTTTCAAGTTTTTCTATATTCTTCTGAAAGGATAATCGAACCAAATTATTCAATGTTCTTAAAGAAAAGTAAGTAAAAGTAAAAGTGCTGTTTAATATTTGTTTTTAAAATATCGAAAAGAAAGAAAGATAAACTTATAGATAATATAAGATTTTATTTAAAAAGTATAGAAGTTGTATTCAAATTGTAGGCAAGATTAACATTAAGTAAACACTATTTTAAAAGTCAGTTCATTTTTTTTATTTAAAAAAATGTTTTTGCTAATAAACTCTGTAAAAACTACTATAGATTATAATTAGATCTTGATTTACTTATATTAAGCAAAATTTTATTTTGTAAAATGTATCACAAGTATATCGGGTTTCTTTTAACCGCATTGTTTAACCCTAGAACACTAACCATCAGTTAAAGTTACACCACTACTAACCATGGGTATATCATACCCGATTTTGAAAATATAAAAAAAAAAAATTAAATATAAATCTTTATTTGAAATATTTTACATGCAAGCACTTTAAACTTTGTACTTTGAATTAACATTAATAGGAACTGAAAAAAATATTTAGCTAAGAAAATCAGGTACTGAAAATTGTAACTAAAAATAGGAAAATTTCCGCTGGGTACTATATACATGTTTAGTGTTTTAGGGTTAATGAAACGGATTTATGATGAGACGTATTTTGCTGCACTGACACCGGTAAGTTAGTTTATTTCGTTTTTAATGAAGACTGTTAACAAGTTTGAGAAAGCAAATACAGTAGAATCCCTCATATCTGGAATCCCTCATATCCGGACATGATTTTGATGTGTATATTTGAACTATTTTTTGATATCTAACTGATTTGAAATTTCTGTTTTTCAGGAAATTTACTTTGGATAATTGCTTATACTTATTTCACCCTAATGGCTTGCATTGGTGCAAATGATGAGGAGAATAAGCGAAAAAAAAAGTTTGGAGTTATTGCAAAAAGTGGAAATTTTAAACAGACTAGACGCTGGTGAAAGTTCATTGTAACAAATGGCTGTGTTCAGCATAAGAAAGTCAACATTGTATGATATAAAATCTTCCAAAGAAACTATTCTCCAGTGTTCACACTGTCACAATTAACAAGAAACTAAAACATATGATTGTAATGAAACCTGGACTGAAATTGAAAAAGCTGTTGAAAAGGTTTTCAGTTTTATGGAAATAAATCCAGCATTCAGCTAAGGATTGCAATAACGCACGCAGAGTTATGAAGTGTCTTCGTTTAAAAAAAATCAAGAACAAAAATAAAACGAAATTCGGAAAAAGTTGAAAATGACATTAGAAGAGAAAGAATCATCATGCAACAGCGATTAAAAAAATCCTCGTTACATTATTTGTTTTGCATACATAACATACTTAATGAATTTTCATTAACATTGAATAATTTATTACTTTTTTCCTTAAAATCATTTCCGTTATATTTCACTCACCATTAGCTTATTTTGCTTACTATAAAACACTGGAAATGAATGTTAAACCTAATTTCATTTTTTTTATTTTAATTTAAATATAACCACTCATATCCGGACTTTGTAACCAATTCCTCATATTCGGAAGGCCTTCTTAGTCCGGTCGTCAGGGATTTTACTATAATTCTTGTTGCATATTTTTATCTAAAATTTAACTTATAAATGTATATTAAGACGTAATTAATTTATTATAATCCCTTATATCTTGTCTCAGATATTGGATAAAAATCTTTGGAAAACTTTTACTGGTCTTTACTAAAAAAACTGCAGATGAAACATTACAGATTTTCCAGAAATGTCACATATGCAATCAGGGAAGACGTTTCTTCAATTCTTCCGGCATCTCCTGCAGATGTTCGACAGTATGTAATCATAGGTAGTTTAGCATATATTTTTAGTTAAAAGCCTCTATATTACTTCTAATTAGGGAAGAGTGTTGTACTGGCCCTGAAAAATAAAAAGTAAACTCTTAAGGATTGTCCTTTATTTACAAAAATTCTGTAAGTTTGGAAGTTCGTAAAAAAGTTTCAATCTGACTCGTCCAAATAAAGCTTATTAGCAATATGGAAAACGAAACGGCTAGTTTTTAAGTGCATGTATAGCTGGCATATTTTTCTACTTCTTTGCTTTTATTAATGTAAATTGTTTAATTTATGTGTAATGATTTAGGTATATTCCTTATTTTTAATTTGATTTCTCAATACATAATATGCCTACCCACCCAAATCCCAGGCCTAGCGCAATCCCCTGCTTCCTTTTTCAGCACTCGAAAAGAGAACGTCACAGGCTGCTTAGAATCCAACATCGCCCCGTAGACGCCAATGGTGGCGCCAGTAGTTTACCCACAAATTCTACGGATCAGAAGCCGGGCAACGAGAAATGCAAGACGTCGGTACTATTTTCTTTCTTTCTCTTTTCTTCTTCTTCTTCTTTTTTCTTCTTCTTCTTCTTCTTCTTCTTCTTCTTCTTCTTCTTCTCTGTTTCATACCGCCTGCTTTATTTCTCTTTCTCATCACCTCTCTTTCTTTTTTTATTTCTCTCTCTTCATCCCCACGCCTCTTTTCTTAATCGCTTTCTTTCTTCAACGTCATTATAATCTTTTTTTTTTCTTTTGTTTTCCCCTTCTCTTTATTTTTTCATTAAGATTTATTTCATTTTTTTTCCTTTTTCTTCTATCGTCAATGTACTTCTTAGTCTTTTATTTTTCTTTTTTTCAAATTTATAACATCTTTCCTGGTTTTAGCGGTTTATTCTGCCTATTTCCCCCCTTTTTATCATTTTCATCATCCTTTTTTTTTTTTACGTTGTTTCACATTATTTCTCATCTTTCTTCTTCTCCCTGCCTCCACTTCTCTTTTCAGTACTAACGATATGTATAATATTTTCAATTTTTAGAAGCAAAAGGCAACAGCCTTCCTTAATCACTCAACCTTGCAACTAAAACCCAGATTACAACGTTAACTCGCTTATATTTCTAGATACACACCACCAAACCCATTTATTTATCATTTTCTCTTGCCAAAACAACTTTTGAAGACAGAAGAAATTGATGCTATCCAACGTAAAAAAAAAAGAGAAAACATCGTTAAACATGACAAAAATGTTGGTTATTGTATATGGTAAACGTCGGAACAAAAATATTTCCCCCTTTAGGGCCGAACGGATTTAACCATTGATTAGTGAATTTGTGTTCATACCCTGTGCCGGGTAAAACGAATATATTCATTCGAAACACGCCTAGCAATAGTGAACAACTGACATCCCAAGACACAGATAAGCGGCATGAGAACAATATAACCTGTAGAGTGAATAAAGGGTTCAATCTGAAAATTCTTGATGGTTAACCGGATCGACAGACATCTGAAGAAGGCCGGAAGTTGCCACAGCTGAAACGTTTTGATCGTAACAACAATCACGAGGACATTAACCTGACTATAAAAAAAAAACGTCAGTAAGGATAAGCCTCTTCCCAGAAATTCAAACAGAACGAACAGTCCCTTATAAAATTTCTTCACAGTAGAAAATTCTTTTCATCTGCTACGGTGTCTGATTTTCCTGCTTTCTCTTTCTGCTTTGAAATTTTAGAAACTCCACACACCCACCGAAACACACCCATGCTACAAGGGACTGTAATTTACGAAGCAGTCTTATTTTGGAGACAAAGATTTTGCAGGAAAAAAAAAATCATTTTTATTGAAATAATACTTTGAAAAGTAATATATACTTCAAAATATCTTGCTACCTATGTACTTAAGTTTTCGTTGACAAATCCGACCTAGCAGTAAGCACGTTCTAAACTGTCCCGTTCGACTGGGTTCTATAACCTTGGGTGGCAACCATTCTAGGAGAAGGAAAAACTCTGCATTCAAAACCGGCCTGGAGAAAGTTTGGCTCGATCAGGCTATCTTGGCCAAGAAACACAACTTCTACTGTGGCTGCAGTACATATGGCGACCCTACGGGTCAAGGAATTACAGAAATATGTATATATATCCTTGTATATGTGTGTATATGTGTGCGTGTTTATATATATATATATATATATATATATATATATATATATATATATATATATATATACATAAAGAAAGAACTGTAAGATATATAATCCGGTGTTCTTATAAATATTTTTATTTTTACAAAATAGGGCTCAATGTAAATTTCCAGAGCATTAATATTATAAATTAATTGGCTCTTTTAGCTGCCAGAAGTATTTCGCTAGAGATGTTTGAAGTTACTCCAAAATTCACGTGAGGATGAAATGGAACTAATGTCTTTAATTTAATTACAAAATTAAATTCGGGGCTTTTTTAGCTTCCATCTTTGAAACATGGTTAGAACTGTGTAGCGAAAAAAAACATATTTTAAATCAATTAATTTATGATATATATATATATATATATATATATATATATATATATGTCTTAAGGTATGCTATATTTATGGAATCCAGTCGGATCCATTACATTTACTTAAGTACTAATACCCTTGGGAAAGGCATGAATCCTCTTATTCTCTCCGCTCAAGGTATGGATAAATAGCAAGCAGACTGGGTTCTATAGATTTGAGTGGCAATCATTCTTGGAAAAGGAAAAACTCTGCATTCAAATCCGTCCTGGAGAGGGATGGACTCCGTCAGGCTAACTTGCCCAAGACACACCACTCCTACTGTCGCTGCAGTACACATGGTGTCTCTTCGACCGTACGGATTACGGGAAAAAAAAAAAAAAAAAAAAAAAAAAACCTGTCAAATATCCAATAAAAACAAATGGAATATAAATTAGACGTTTCATTTTTTTTATGTCCGAAACACTGATCTGCCATCCTTTACTGAAGCTTGCTAGTAGATTATACGATGTTTTCCTCTGTCCTTCTTACCTTCAATCTGTCCTGTGTGTATCATATTTTACAAGCTCTCTTTCCTCATTATGTACGCTAGTACTGGTGCTAATTGCATTAAGTATTCTCACTGATCAAGTGCAGACTTATTCACCCTCGTTACCGGTTGCTAAAAAGCATATAATTAATGTTGGAATGATAAAGTTTAAAGTTGCCGCTGAGTAAAAATTATACAATTTCTTTCATTCATTTCTTGCCCGGTGACATTTTCGCAATCCACAGATTAAAACATGGGCCAAGCGTCATACAATCAAATTATTTAAGAAGACCGAATTTTATTTGTGTTTCGTACATCTCTTCATTTATGTTTTATTTCATTTCTATTTTTCCAAGCTTGTGTCTTATTATCGACTGTTTTTTTTTCTTATCTTTTCAGCTTGATCTAATTTTATCGACAAAGGGATTATTTTAATCACTTCGCTACGTATAAAGCTCTGCGATGTAAGCGTATGTTAAACTTTCACCTACCTGATACTAGTTTCTTCAACACTAAGCCATAGAGCAGAGACTACAAAGAATCAGGAAAGAATAGGCTGTCTTTATCATTTGTCTCTTTGTCAAAATCTTCCAATCTCTGCGTGATTTATTCTATTATACTAATATAATTCTTAGCCAATCCTATTTAATCTGCTTGTCTGTTCATATATATATATATATATATATATATATATATATATATATATATATATATATATATATATATATAATTACATGAATCATTCATGCAAAAAAACAAATATAGGGTTAATGATTTAAATGGCGAGAATACATCTTCGCAAACAATTTCAATAAGTTACACTAACCCCGAACCTGTATATGAATGATATGATCCCTGTTTATAAATTCCAGTTGCATAAGGTCTTTTTTAGTTTTTACAAGCTTTCGTCTGTTCCTACAGACATCATCAGGTATGGACATAGATTTGTTCTTGTTTTTACTTCTCAGTAATAAGAGGACAACGAAAATAGAGATGTAATCCGAAAAAAAATGCTATGAGAAATGTGTTATTGTTTTGGAACGTTCAGTCGCAACGCTGAGTTTGAATTTTAAATTGTAAGGACGCACGTTCCAAAACAATAACACATTTCTCATAGCATTTTTTCGGATTACATCTCTATTTTCGTTGTCCTCTTATTACCGAGAATTAAAAAACAAGAACAAAATCTATGTCCATACCTGAGGATGTCTATAGGAACAGACGGAAGCTTGTAAAAAATTAAAAAGACCTTATGCAACTGCAATTTATAAACAGGGATCATATCATTCATATACGGGTTCGGGGTTAGTGTATCTTATTGATATTGTTTGCGAACATGTATTCTCGCCATTTAAAACATTAACGTCTATATTTGTTTTTTTTTTTGTATGAATGATTCATGAAATTTATATATATATATATATATATATATATATATATATATATATATATATATATATAATTTATATTTTTACATCAATATGAGAAAGTGGAGGAAAATGGAAGGCTGCAGAAATGGACAATATTTTTAGTTAATAGATATTGCTGAGGAATTATATAAAACTCTATGGAAATAGCATGACACCAAAAGCGCTTTCGATAAAATCTAAACAATAAAAAGACAGCAATTTTCAGATTTCTTCGCCAAAATGAAAATATTTTCATCCGAAATATAACAGTCAATTATAACGTTATAATAATAGGGTCCCCTGGGTATGACGATAAACTACATCCGGCAGCAAGGCCTCTAATCAGACGGTTTCGAGGAACGTTTTGAAGAACCTCTTAATTGCTGGTGTTCACAGGTCCACTCTGACCCGGGGTTGTAGAACCAGTTAGGGTCTCAGTTATGTAAAAATACGTTTTAATTTTTCGAAAAAAATTGCCAGCAGTACATTTCTGAAATAAAAATATTACCCGCAATACATTAAAAAAAATATATTAAAAAATCTTGTCGGCATTAAATAATTCATTGAGGCTGATATGCCGTAAAACAAAACAAACCTAACCAAACTATAGTAATAGGTCATTTATCTAATTATTAAAAGTCCTTTAGGTAAATACTAATTGTAAAGCCGGCGATAAGCGTATATTAAATATCTGTACTTAAAAACACCCATAAAAATATGAATGATTAATAACATTTCTTGTACGACTGAGAATTATAAGTTTGATCTATATAATTAAATGCTTGAAAAATATCCTTGTTTCTTCAAATTTCACATATTTATAACTGTATTAATATAAAAAATATGTCCGTGACTTAATATATATATATATATATATATATATATATATATATATATATATATATATATATATATATATATATAATGTGTGTGTGTGTCAAATTTAAATTTAAAATTAAATAAGACACTCGACACACTTGTATAGAACCGGAAATTTCATAATCACAATTTTGACCTAAAAATAAAGAAAATATAATTTACTTAAACGATGATATATTGAAAGTGCCATAATCTATGAATCCCCTAGGATTATGATTAAGGTATTTCAGCTTATTGCCAGTTCTTACCGAATTAATGCTGTACCAATGTTGACTAAAATAAATAAATATATAAATAAAACAAAGTGAGTTGAATTTTGTTAAATTAGAATTTCTAAATATATAGTTTCACTAAAAGCCAAACTTCCATCTACTTAATGGTAACACCATTTCACTTGCTAATGTAGATTTTGTTGAAATAATTTTTTCCAATGAAGATGATACATTGGTGAAATAGATCAGAATAGCAGTTTTCTAAATTGTTTCGTATATATATATATATTGAAATTTTGAAAACAACACCAGGAAAAAATCAAACAAACAAAAAAAAAACAATAGAATCCGAAGTAAGCCACCAGTGAAAATAAAAGACAAAAGGACACATGGCACAGTGGATAACGGCGTTGGTTAGATCCAGTGACAGGACCCAAAGAGTTCAATACCCGGTTAAGGCAGTGGAGAACTTTCAGAGGGAAATTAACAGGA